ACTCTATAAACTCTTCATGAATATACAAAAACCATAATTGTTAAATTTACATTTAAATGATGCATAGTTAATGCCGCTAATCTTGCCATATAGGATTGAGCATTCCCATTATCTTGATCTGCTCACATTTACCATTTAGGCGTGAGCTCCAATTAAATGCCCGCAACACGTTGCCGAAATGAAGCAATTACAAAATGCCAAAACAACATCGGGGCGTTCCACTCGAGAAGTGTTGAGCCGCAATTAGCGGCCGCAATAATAAGCCAGTTAGGCAGGCAGGCAGGCAGGCAGGCGGTTGTCTCTCAGACGGGCCTACTCGCACAGACCTGGCAAAAGCCGGGACGGTTTAAGTATACATGTATAAACAAATATCAAAAATCCGACAACAACCTTGACATTGAGCGCTGACAAGTTGCGTAAAAGATGTGCAGCCGTGTGGAAAGTAAAGCAAATATGTCGAGTGTGCTTGACTTGCACACACCCTGTAGCGAGTGTCATTAACTAACTGCTTAAATATTAACTAGAACATCAAATAAAATGAGTGTGAGTTAAGGGCGTGATATACCCCGCACAGCTAGTTTTACAGAGTATCAAAAATACAACCCACAATTTTGTATTATTTGATTCGCGTCAGCAAAACGTGCCTTTGACTGCAAATCCACACGCAGCTGACCAAAACTACACACAATATTATGCAAAAATTAATTTAAAAATAATAATTATAAACACAAAAACGTTAACATTAGAAACAGTTAACGAGACAATGCCAAAACGGTCGAAATGACTCATTTGCCCAATGAGTGCGACCTGAACAAGTTTATTGCTGATCTTTCACGCTGGAACGACGAGATGAGCTCACAGAGTCTATAGCTCCCGATGCCGTCAATAGGCATAACAAGGCAAGCTGAATGTTTCGAGCCAGAAGATCATCTGAATAGCAAATGATCAGCAGCAGGGTGGTGTCTGGGCTGAAGCTTTCGATTAACTTATAAATTATTTGTATGTATTTATTATTTATGTATTTTGTGTGCTTTGCTTTACCTTTATCTGTCTTTCTTCTCTGCTCTGTCTTTTGTATAACTGCGGCAAGCGTGTCTTCTAGCTGAAAATACAGCCGTGATTTTTCACCACTTTCACATTCACAATGAAAATAAAATGATAAACATAAAATTGATACGAATGCAGCATTTGGTTATTTATACAAATTTGTTGTTTATTGTTTTGATTTTACGTTTGTTTTTGTTAAAAAACTTTGTTTATTTGTGCTGATTATAATATGCTAAATTTTCTTGATTTATTTAGTTTCGCTTCGCTTTTCTTTATTGCAACACACTGAGGGGAACATGATATTTTTGGGCTTTACGTTGTTAAAGATGCAAATCAATAGATATACGACGTTTCGACACTTTGCAAGTCTCTAATAACTCGTCTTGTCGCGTTTATTTGCCAGTAATTTATCAATATACGTATATTTATTAACTGATCAAGACTGCATATTAAATTTCACTTTAATTTACAGCACACGTACTTTACATGCAACTGTCTATGGTTATTTTTCTGGCGCTGCGCAGCTGGAAAACTCATTTTCCATTCGGCTTTTTACACACTCTCTCACACACACACACACATTTAACGCTCGAGTCATAAGTCAAGACTTTCAATTAAGCGGCTTTAACACGACAAAATACGTTGGTTATAGTGAAAAGATGCTACGAAAGTATCCATGTATCTTTGTATCTATGCAGTTATGTATCTATAGGTATGTAAGTGCGGGAAAAGTGTAAAAATTACACTTCACAAAAACAAAAACAACTTGCGCTTTCACAAAAAGACTGCAGCTTGTACTGATCCATGATTTGCCATATGATTTCTTAGCATCGGGCGACAAAATCGGAATGAATCTTTTACATTAACGCGCCAGTTCCGGGTTGAATGACAGTGTCGCATTAGCAGACCTCGCGACATATGCACCAATGATTTGTATTGGCGATCGATTTAAAATAAATTAAAATACACGCACAGCTGCCCAAATACAATGGAAATTTTGTGTGTGTGTGTGTGTGTGTGTGAAAGTACGCAACGAAAAACAAAGTGGAAAACCGTTGCCAGCCCATTTCGAAATGGAAAATTGTCAACGCACATTGAACTTGACGACAAAAGAAATGCAGCGCGAGAGCAAGAGAGAGAAAGAGAGGGAGAGAGAGAGAGAGGGCATGCCTCAATTTACAGTTAGGATGCAGAGATGTAAAACTCGTAAGAGACTTTCGGCCAGCGGAATGCGAAATGCACTTGCCGCGCCAACTTTTTCGCTGAGCAGAAAAACCAAAAAAAAAAGTGAAGGGGCCACAGCAGCCGGGATCGGCGAGACCTGTGCCCAGTCTCCCCATGTGTGTGTGTGTGTGTGTGTGTGTGTGTGTTGCTGGCTAAAGATACATGCGCGACTCTACAGATACGACGACTAGCCGGCGCATAGCGGTACTTTGAGTGGGCATGACGAGGAGCTAATGACTCGGCGCCCCGTTCGACAGACACACGCTGTACAGGAAGTTGGCAATTTTGGTTAGCCAGCTGAAGAAACTAATGTTTGATTCGGCTGCTGTGGGCCTTATATAGGCGTATATAGTGGGCAGGCGGTGTTAAGCATGTGAACGATTAACAATTGCATTGGGGGCGGCACCAAAAATCATTCCAGTGTGTTTTCAAATGAATGAATTTCATGAATTTTCTGCTCAAATCAAGCTTGATTACTTCAATGCCAATCAAAATACACAGGTGTATTCAATTTCCTGTCACCTTAACGATCGAAAAAGCTGCTTGAAGTTTTCAATCTCTTAATTGACACAAAATGCGATTTCTTTGTTGAAATACCACAGATTTATTTCATTTTTGTATAGTTTATCTAATGCAATCATTCGAATTAAATTCCTGACTAACACAGTTCCACTTGTCTTTTAGTTATTGCTCTCTTTGGTAATCTTTTTTTTTTTGACAATTTCGTAAAATAGTGTGGGCACACTTATTTTCGGTATGCATGAATTTTCAGAAATTTAAAAAACCGTTATCACTTTCTTACATATGCCAAAAAAATGCTCAATTATTCCGCTTGGCTTTAGTTTTGCTCATTTTACACAGAATTTAATTCAATAATTAGCCGCAAAGTACGCTGCAGCACACGTCGTCAAAAGTTGCGCGAAGAAACTGAGCGCAAAAGAAACTGAGTACCAAGTGGACGGCGATCGGGCCGAATACGAATAATAACAAACGCGCGCGTTGCGAACGCGTTGCGTACCAAACTCAGACTGTGAGCAGACAGGCGGCAAGGCAAGCGGCCAAGCAAGCGCGCAGCACACTCATAAAAAAAAAACAACAACAAGCAGATTCAGTGCGAAAGCAGCACAGCTGGCTCAGTGAAAAAAACGTTAAAAGCGCCGAGCGACACACAGCAAGTGATGTCCAAGAGAGCAGCTGAAAGTCGAGAGTAAACTCCGAGCCGTAGCTGCAGCTTTGGCGCTCAGCTGTTGCGAGTTGGCCGGCCAACTATATTGGAAAATATACAGGGTGTCGACTCTGCATCAGGCGATCAACAAAAATCACTCCATTCTTTAGCGCTAATAATTATTGCATAAGCACTTTTTGAGCACACATGCATAGAACACATACACATAAAACTTCAATAACTGTAAATGCTCACCATTTTCCTTTGCCTTTCATTCGTCTTCCAAATTCCAATTGCGTATTGCGGCGTGAAAAAATGCGATCATGCTCTGATTTATATGTTTGCTGCACTAAATTTACGTTCAATATCTCATTTTTAATCACTGCAACGCGTTAAACTTGTTTAATATTCATATCTTATGCTTTAACGTTTTGTAAACTTTACTTTTTATTTGAATTGCGGGAAACTAGGAATATCGATGCACCCACACAGTAGCAAGTTCACCGTTACTGACTAAGCCATGTATCGATAAATACAATTGTTAATACAATAGTTGAAATTTTGAAAAATATCGACAACTATTTCAAACAGCTACCGATAGTATCGATAACTACAGCGATTGTTGTGCAGCTGTTTTCAGCTTTGTTATTTGTAAAATTCGCTTGGTCGACGAATATGGCCCATCAAAATTGCTTATTCTGTGATATTTCAAATTGCAAAACTGAAACAATTTTGGAAATGGAGACTGACGAATTTGCCATATTTAAAGACATACGACCGGCATCGCGACATCATTATCTTATTGTGACAAAGCAACATTATGACAGTCTAAAGGTTCTCAACCAATCGCACGAAAAAATGGGTTTGTAGATTAAACAAACGTACTCATATATATGCATGTTTATATGACTAAACCTTTTTAATTTCTAGTGCTTCGCATGGAGCAGGGCCTCAAGAGCTTTTTAACATCAAAAGGTATTGATACAACTGATGCGCTCTTCGGATTCCATGTCCCGCCTTTCATCTCCGTGAAGCATTTGCACATGCATGGAATTGCGCCGCGCTCCGAAATGAGTTTTCTGTCTCGCTGGATTTTCAGACCCGCGACGGCATGGTTTAAGACTGTATGTAAAATGTTATATGGTCTAATCCTGTGACTATATGCTGCTTGTCCATTTAGGTCGAAGAAGCACAGGCTTATCTGAACAAGAAAGCGATTTAGCTCTGGAACGAGCTCCTGACTTTGAAATGTGGCCAGCGAGACTAAGCCAGCTAGTTGATATAAGGTATAAGGTATCAATAATAGTACAAATTCAAAATATGTATATTTTTTGATAATTTTATTTAAAATTTTATGATTTGCTGCGCAACTAGAAATCCAGTCTAAAGATTTTCTTAGGTAAACTATAATTTTAGAAAATAAGTACCCTGCACCATTTTAAAAAATAAATATCTAAGCTATGAATCGGTTTAAATTTTGGTTAATTTACGATATTTTAACATATTGTTTTGTAAGTCAGTCAATTGGGTTCAGACCTTTCGTTCTCTTCGCCTCGAGTTGTTCGATAAAGCGAAATCTCAGTTCTGCTATCATGTGTCCCAAAAGGGTTTTACACATTTTTCAAGGGGTTTAAGTTATTTTCATCTTCTAGAAGATGTTTCGTGTCTGTGTGGCTCCTCATGTGTCTCTTGAGATACGAGCTCTTGGGAAAGGGCATGAGGCAGATGTCACACTTGAATGGACGTTCGTCATTCAGATGGACGCGCAGGTGTCTTTGGAGCGCCGCAGGCTGGACATAGGACGCCTGGCACTGGTTGCACTTGTACTGCCGATTGCCCGAGTGAATCCGTTTGTGCACCGTGAGATTTCCTGCATTGGCGAAGGTCTTCGGGCATTCCAAGCACTTGAACGGACGTTCGCCGGTGTGGATGCGTATGTGCTCGTTGAGCCGTCCACGCTGGGTAAATGCCTTGACGCAGTGGGGACACTTGTAGGGGCGTTCGCCTGTGTGTGCGCGTATATGATCCTCAAGATTGCCCGGATTGACAAACTTCTTCGGGCACAGCTGGCATTCGTGCTTCCGTTGGCGTGCATGGAAGCTCTCGTGCAGGCTGAGTTTCCTTTTGGTTGGAAATTCCTTGCCACACGTTGCACAAAAGTGGGCTTTCTTATCAGTATTGGAATCGGAACAGGGTATAATTAATTCCTCACTAAAGGAGCTTTTGCAGCTCACATCGCACTTCATGTCGCAATCGATGAATTTGGTTTCAAACAGGCAAATGGGGTTGGCATTGGATTGCCAATCATCTGATCGCGTTTCTGTGTATTCGCATATGTCTATTTTTGAATCAAGATTCTCTGCGCATTGCTCTTCTTCTTTCTTAACAGACATCATATTTTTGGCCCACTCGGAAAGTGGCCAATCGTCGGTTTCAAGCATATCCCTGGCGTCTAGCTGCTGCATGAAATACTGATGACTCTCCTCGCAAGTGCGTTTGAATTTGAAGAAGCCTTGAGCAGAGAGAACGCAGGACTCGCACATTTGTTGAGGTAGTGCATCATTTTGGGTTACTTCACAGTTCGTGCACTCGCTCAGCATCTCCGCCAAACTGGGTTCGTCCGTCGAATCCAATTGGTCGGCGAAGATGTCGACTAGATTAACGCCGTCGTCTCGGCACACGCGGCAAACCTTTTCCATGATGTATTTTGTGCCCCTTACGTATTGTAAACAAGAATAAAATGTTTGGCAAGGAAATTTCTAATGGTTGTTAATTCGATACAGTATTATTTTTGTATTCGCAGTGGTGTTCTCTGTTCTAGCGGGTTATGGTCACACTGCAAAAATAATCGCTTTCAAAAATACTAAAATACAAATTGCGCATCGATTTAAAAATTGACAGATTGGCGGCTTGCCGCGAGATTAAATTGTAAGTCAACAATTTACTAATTAAATCACAGTAATTATTTGCATAGCAGTTAATTTGCATAGAACTTTCGATTATTTGGAGACTCATATATCGGCATATGAAAACATCGCGCATAAAACCAAAAAAAGAAAACCATCGTTGGTATCGATATAATATCAACAATTCCCGAGTCGACTTCAGCTGTGTGCGCTGCTCTGCTTCGCTGCTCCTATTCGTATGTTTGTGTCTGCTTTCATGCATGTGTGCGTGTGTGTTTGTGCGTGTGTGCGCTGTGGTATTTGTGTGTGTGTGCGTGTGCAAAATCAGAGTCTTTGAAAAAACAGAAAACTCATCAACGGCCCAAAAACAAAGTTCCTATTTTACACAATTCGTGTCCGTGTTCAGCATAAAAGTGGCCAAAATTCGGCGAAAACAGCGCAAGTGTGATAAAACCAACGTGCCACAGCCGTCTGCAAAACGAACGAAAACAAAAGAGAATAGCGTTGATAGTACAACAAGCATTTTAAGCAGTGGCAGTGGCAGCAGCAGCGGCGCCGGCAGCAGAGCCAGCAGCAGCAACAACAACAACAAGCGCGCATACGCCTCGGTCGGCCGGGGAGCGGCCGACGTTGTACCTGAACCCCGTGTACCCCCAACAGCAGCGTCCACAAACCCACGAACAGCAGCAGCAGCTGCGGCGTCGGCGGCAACAACAACTACAACAAGCACAACAACAACAACAAAGGCAGCTGCCGGCCGGTGTCCGGCCGACGAAACTGTTGCTAGTGGTGGGCGGGGCGGCGGGGGTGTTGTCGAAAGCGCACAGCTAACAAAGGGGCCACTGAATGCGACGCATTTGTCAGTTCCCGTTTATTTGCGCACTGTGCAAAAGCTTGCCTCTGAGCTTGACGCAAACGCGAACGCCAACGCCAACGCTAGCGTCAACGTCAGCACAAGCAGCGGCAGCAGCAGCAGCGCCGTTGACGTCGACGTCAACGTCATGTCGGAAACGGGCTGCCGGCATTATCAGACCTACGTGAAGGAGCACAGCTACGATACCTTTCGGGTCATCGATGCCTACTTTGCCGCCTGTGTCAACAAGGATGCGCGTTTAAAAAAGGTAAGCGGGCAGCAGTAGGCAAAACCACGGCCTCAACCATCCACCCCTACCACCTTTTTTGCGTTCCCCCCTGTCCATAGGCCATACACTGCAATTGCTTCGAGTGCGGCAGCTATGGCATCCAGCTGTACGCCTGCCTGCACTGCATCTACTTTGGCTGCCGCGGTGCGCACATAACTAGCCACCTGCGCGCCAAGAAGCACAACATCGCACTGGAGCTGTCCCATGGCACATTGTACTGTTATGCGTGCCGGGACTTTATCTATGATGCGCGCAGTCGCGAGTACGCGCTGATCAATCGCAAGCTGGAGGCCAAGGATCTCCAGAAGAGCCTCGGCTGGCAGCCCTGGATACCCACGCCCAAGGAGACAAATCTACTGCTGGCCAATGCGCGCCGTCGTCTGGTGCGACCCAATCAAACGATTGGTTTACGTGGACTGCTCAATCTGGGTGCGACATGCTTCATGAACTGCATTGTCCAGGTGAGAGAAAAAAAATTGAGTGCAACAAATGTCGCTATTCGATTGCAACCTTTACTTATATGCGAATGCCCAGCCCTAGTCAAAAGGAAAGGTCCTATTATTGGAAAATAATCGATAAGTTTGACAAAGTGCTATCGATTGTTATTTGATAAGTTTGTAACAAAATGTGTACGCACTGAAGACAGTGTTGCCCACTGCCGTCAAAAACTAGCCTTTAAATAGCTAAATTAGCTCGAATAAGTAATTCGTTCTAATTGAAAAGCCAAAAAATAGCTAATTCAGTTAAAAGTTGGCTGTTTTTCACTAAAAGTAGCTAAACTGTTTTGATAAATTTTTGTGATCGTTTAAATGCTTTCCCGCAGGCTCTGGTGCACACTCCGCTGCTGAGCGACTATTTCATGTCGGATCGCCACGACTGTGGCAGCAAGGCCACACACAAGTGCTTGGTGTGCGAGGTGTCGCGTCTCTTCCAGGTAAGCGCATGCGCAGTTTCCCAGTTGTGTCCAGTTGCGGCCGTTTTGATTTTGTGCTTCTTTTCTTTTAGGAGTTCTATTCGGGCTCACGTTCACCATTGTCGCTGCATCGCTTGCTGCATTTAATTTGGAACCATGCGAAGCATTTGGCCGGCTATGAGCAGCAGGATGCGCACGAGTTTTTCATAGCGACGCTGGACGTGCTGCATCGGCATTGCGTGAAGGCCAAGTCGGAGCACGAGAGCAAGAGCAACAGCTCGAGCGCATCGGGCGGCAATTCCAGCTCAAGTGCCAATGCAACGGCCACGCATTGCTATGGCCAGTGCAACTGCATCATCGATCAAATCTTTACGGGCATGCTGCAGAGCGATGTGGTGTGCCAGGCATGCAACGGCGTTTCGACCACATTCGATCCCTTCTGGGACATCTCACTGGATCTCGGCGAGACAACCACGCACGGCGGCGTCACGCCGAAGACGCTGATTGACTGCCTGGAGCGCTATACGCGTGCCGAGCATCTCGGCTCGGCGGCCAAAATCAAATGCTCCACCTGCAAATCGTACCAAGAGTCCACCAAACAGTTTAGCCTGCGCACCCTGCCCAGCGTCGTCTCGTTCCATTTGAAGCGTTTCGAGCATTCGGCACTGATTGATCGCAAAATATCGTCGTTCATTCAGTTTCCCGTCGAGTTCGATATGACGCCCTTTATGTCCGAGAAAAACAATGCCTATGGCGACTTTCGTTTCTCTCTGTACGCGGTCGTCAATCATGTCGGCACCATTGACACCGGCCACTATACGGCCTATGTGCGTCACCAGAAGGACACGTGGGTCAAGTGCGATGATCATGTGATAACAATGGCTTCGCTCAAACAGGTGCTCGACAGCGAGGGGTGAGTTGGCGGCCACATCGAATATATCAACACACCTGCCAATCTATTTATTTATGTATCTATTCACTCCTTGCAGTTATTTATTATTCTATCATAAGAATGTTCTGGAATACGAGTGAGCGGGCGGCAATGGAGACAAGTTCAGCGGCAGCCAAGTGCATCCATAGAGACTGTTTCTACCCCTCCACACACAAATCACTCAGATACACACATACACACACACACAAGGGCACACACGCGCACACACTTATGGTGACAGCGCATGTAGCATACACAGACACACTCACACACATACAAATACCAGGCAGACGAGAACGCGGCAGCGCTTACAACAAATCTTAATCTTAATTAATAAAACCATATTGTTCTAAGTATTTCCAGCACATAATGCTAAAAACTAAACGAATGCTAAACAAAAATGCTTATGTATGTAAAACAAAGGAAAAGAAACAACAAGAAAAAACACACAAAAAAACAACAACAGAAAATTATGCATAGCAACCAAATGCAAAGCAAGAAAGAAACAAAACGAAATATCACAATTTTGCTCTTACTCATGAACTTTAAACAATTTAAACAAAACAAATTATCTGATAAAACTGACGACGTCTGGAGCAGCTACTTGTTTTGTTTGTAAAGCGGCAATTTTTATTTTTCTCTTTGTAAATTGCAGCAAATTAATTGAAATCAGATTATTTGTAACAAGAAAAAAAGTACAAAATAATTACATTAACCACTTGGGCTCGTCCGGGAATTGAACCCGGGACCTCTCGCACCCGAAGCGAGAATCATACCCCTAGACCAACGAGCCAGTTGAAGGTGGATCGCCATATTGTATATTTCACATTGCTGCGACGGCGCTGATTGTTACATATTGTGTGTATATTTGGAAGCGCATGCAACACGTGTCAGACAGAGATGACAATAGTATGCTTCGATGTTTGTGTCTAAGCTAAACACAAAGGTTATTTTTTTTAGCATAGACAACAACCAAGCATTATTTCTGTTTAGCTCACGAGCGTCATAAATGTTTTTCAAATTACTCTATTTTAAAATTGAAATAGGGTGTATTAAGACGATAATTATGCTGCCCGAAAAATTTTAGACTCAAACCTTGTGCATATTCGATTAACCATTTTCTTAAATAGTCATACATTTTGTGGGTGAGTCTAGAAGAGAAGTCTTATTTCGACTGCTTGAAGATTATACACTTCGAACAGAGTATTACGCAGTTTTTCAATTAAAGAAAAAAACTTTGATGCGATAGTTGACAAAGCATATCAACACAATTTTATTCGAATGCCGGAATACCCACAACATTCGCGGCTGGCTGAAAATATTTTACAGCACTGTCAGTCGATGGAAAATAAGCCGAGTGAACGAACGATCGAGTCCAATTCAAAAACAAAAGCTGCAATATGGAAATTCAAAGTGGCAACGGTAAATCAAGGAAATATTCCTGGCTATCGGCGCCATCATCATTCTCTGTCTACAAGAAGTCGGAGGCGAGTTGCCTGGAAAGTTGCATTTGTCAACGCAAGCGCGGATTAATTGTCTGCACCTGCTGCCAGAAATCTTTTGTGGGCCGCATCGGGGAGCGTTGCATCGCGCATCCAGAAGTAAACTATAAATCTACGCACTACATATATGAATAAATGCAGCGATCGGCTTTTTATATCCACAGATTGCTTATCTAATGGATGCACGCAACTGCGCTTTCTGCGGAGCTGCTGCCAAAGATTTGCGAATGGCGACGGATCAAATGTGAAACAAAAGAGATGTAAGAAAATTGTCGTTGACGACACACTATCAAATACAAATATCAGAGTCTATGTAAACAAATGAACAATGAAATCCAAAAATATATAGATACGATTGTGTATCTAAACACACATTCTGTTCCTTGGGAACAATGGCTTTGATTACATGTACATACATACATACATGCACAGCTTCAAATTGATATGTGCATATGTATGTATGTGTGCATTACTTTAAGAGTGCGTCATTCTGCACGTATGCGTGTATGCGTGAAAATACAAAAGCAATTGCACATGTTTTTGGAGCATTTTACAGCACTGATGAGCACCGTTACTTAAAGCATTCCAGAGATAGCGTTGCCAGCTCGACTGCTTTCCAATTGGCTGTGGCCCTTTGAAAAGACGCTAGATAAGTAATTAATTCAGAAATGTGCGACAATCGCAAACAACAGCTTTAGCTGCAACTGTAAAGGTAAATAAGGTAAAATCAAATATTTGATAGAAAAACATTGCATAAGAAATGCAGCTGTTTATTTATCTAAGTTATTGCTTTTCGAAACTAGTCAACACTGGTCGCTTAGTTGAAAGAAGCCGCGTCGCAATTGTGCGCAATTAAAGAAATCGTGTTTTTATTATTTCAAACGCACTCGTTTTCATTAGAAGGTAATTGATACTGAGTTATTAATCAGCATAATGATGTTAATTGGTTTAAATATAATCACGCCAAAGAATTTTTTTGGATTTGTAAAAGGCAAGCTTGCGTTCTTTTGCATATACATAAATATACACACATACAAGCGCATTTATGCATGTGTGTGTGTTTGTAAGTTTTTGGAGTTCTCAATAAGTCAAATTAGAAGGCTTTTTTTTTAATGTCATGATTTAAAAGCGCTGTGCTGTATCAATTTTAAGCTAATCGAAGCCTTTAGAGTAAAAATATCAACGATATTTCAATGTACAAATAAATATATGTACATTTTTTCTTCTAATCTGCAGTTGACTTTTAAAATGATGAACTCCAATCAAAATGAATTTGCCGACCAGAACAACAACTGGTGCAGCAACAACAATAACAACAACAAGAACAGCAAAGACGGAAAGAATAAACTGAAATATGAGCTGCCATCGGACTACAAGTACGAGGTGCACGTATGCGTCTGCTTTCGCCCGCAAAAGGCATTCGAGTGCCAACGCTGTCATCATTATTTCCATGGACGCATAAGCGAGCACTGCAAGGTGCATCCCTCGGTGAGTGGCGGGGATTCGGGTGTAACTTGATGGTGGGCCTCTATTAAGTATTGTCAATGCTCATCTGTGCAGGAATTCTTTTTGATGGACTTTCGCTATTGTCCATACTGCTCGGCGCCCATAACGGATGTCAGGGAATCGAAGCTGAGCTGGGAGCAAATCCGCAAAATCGAGGATGCCAATTTGCCAAATGACGGCGATGACTTGTAGCTGGATTTGACATTCAGCAATACATTAATTAGTTTTGTGTACATTTCATGTGTATCCATTAATAAGCTATGATTAAACACGTTCTTGTTATGCTTGAGATTAATATAATAATAATTCTAGAGTAAATCAAATTCGTGCCATTAATCTATACCATATTGAGCTAATGCGGTTGACAGCGTCTGGCCTACGTTGGGCACCTGCACAAACTCACACACGCCGACACACTCGGGAGTCAAGCTTGGCATTTATGAAGTGCTCAATGTCGTCGGCAGCTTGGCAAGAAGTTCAATATAAGCTGGGAAAAGGAAACATCAGGGCGCTGGCAAGGCGCATAGCCCAGCAGCTTGACACAGTACAGCGATTGCATGTGGCATGTGGCAAGAGGCAAGTGGCGTCGTATGGCATATGTGGCAGAGAGCGCAGCTAAAGCTGTTGGCGGCCATGACTTGGCAACAAGTAAGTTAAGTGTTGTTAGTGCTGCACCGATTTAACTCTCCCTTCTCCTTTTCGCCGTGCAGGTGCCGCACACACACCAGGCCCTCAATTTGTAATACAGCTCAAGCTGCTTGCAACATGAGGTATGCAGCCCTTTGAAGTGGCAACAGCAGCATCAGATATTTTACTACACGACCAGCAAGTTCGCGTAGAATTTACTCAACGCTTTGAGCAAGTATCTCAAGAGCAGTTGACAATTGTAAAGAGTTTTCGCTCAACTTGTCCTTTAGGCACCATTATCGCAGCGCTTGGCTTCAATTCCATTCCCAGGGCGACATCATTCAAATGGTTAAACAAATTCATGTCGCTGATAACAATTCAATCACTTAAGAGTTCAAATCGCCCTACAATATACCCCCAGAGTCCAACTGGCCGCAAACTGGCGTCTGCTTTTGCTGCAGCTTGGATCTTCTGCATATCTCTGGGCTACGCTTTGTACTGCAGCTGCGATTTACTTTTGCTGAAGTTCTGACTCGACTCCACAGCTTGCACAGTCATTCAATAAATTCCATTGACAATTGCGGCGGCAGCCTTGGAGTGTCTTTTGACTGCTGGTCGTCCTTTTAGGCAATGATTTTTCCAGCGATCCCTTGCTCATAATATAATAATATGTTAGCATTTCGGCTTAAATGTAATTTTACCATAAGCTTCATAATTAAGTTATACAATTGTAGCCCACGGCAACAGTTGATTGGCAGTGGCAAAAGATTCGGTTTACTTTATGTTAATTGCACAATTTAAAATATCTTTAGTTATTCTTAGTAAATTGGTGTGTGGCTGCATGCTTTACTCTTATGTCTATTTGCATATGTAGTTTCCATTAAAGTGCATTCCCATTGCTAAATCCAACTAGCAGCAGCCGCCAGGCGTCAGTTCTCTTTCATTGTTGCCCATTTGAAAAGCAGTTGGGGCCCCCTGACTGCCTCAACTGGCACTGGCTTCAGCTCTGGCCCCGTGTCTAATTTCCGTTGTCCTTTGTACGTGTGTCTGTGTGTGTTTTTTAGCCTCGGGGACACTTCTGAGTGAGTTGCACAATTGCTTTCATGCTGATTTTATTTGCCCGCAACACTCACAGCCGACAACTTGTTCTGTTTGGCTGCAACCCCGACCTCCAGCCCACTGTAAGTTTTGGTATCGTGGCGGCCCGACAACTTAACCAAGTATTAGCACTATTTAAGAGTTGCAGTTGAAAATTTTCCAATTAGTGCAGCTATTTGAGCCCCGGCCCGCTGTCCATTGCATTTTGAGTTTGGCGTAATCTTGGCAATTAGTTTGCCGACTCGCTGTTGCGCTTGATTCTTGCTGCTCTTGTAAATTATGCAATTGCTTAAAATATTCATGAAAAGTTTCATGGCAAGGCAACAGTTGCCGTCAGCTCAACGCATTGCACCATTGCACATAAAATCAGTTGGGCACATCCTTGTGTAAATGTGTGTGTGTGTGTGTGTGTGTGTGAACCGGGTGAAAAATGTACGTTGTTTTTCTTTAAGTACGTCGCGTGCGCGCCATTGTCAATGCGCCTTTCATTGTGCTTGTCCTTACTGCACTCGGGTGCCACTTGCCACTTTGCGTCGCCCGTTCCATTATTGAAGTGTGCACTTCCGCTAAATGGTATTTGGGGCAAGCACATAAGCTTACGATATAGCAGATAGCTGCCTGCTGGAAATTCAGTTTAGTTCCCGCCCAAACACCCCAAATTTAGTGGCGCTTGCAATTTTTATGGCAAGCTAGTGAGCGAGGAGGCGAGTAATGGCAAGAGTGGCGGCATTGTTCCACTTTAGTTAGCATTGAGCTGTTTATTAACATTTTATCTTTTAAAAGAAAACTCGATATTCAGGCCAGGCACAGCTTCTTGGGCAGCTGCTGTTGATCTTCTATACACTTCGATATAGCTGTAACAAGTTTAATATAGTTTTCTTTTATTTGCAGTTGTGTGTTGTATGTTGAGAGCATACCCCATCTGGAGCCCACGACCACAGGACAGACGGCATGCCTTGTCAGCGCATCCGGTTTACCAGCTGCATTCAAATTGTACCACAACAAGGCTGAGCCTCTTTTTGGTTTCACCACGAGCTGCAGCCTTGGAAATATGGTAGCGCCACCGAGCGCAACATCGCTAGCCTGTTATAGCAAATGATGCTTGTGTATTAGAACTTTAGAGATTCCGAATTGTCTTACGTACGTAGAAAATGACTGTAGCTATGCGATTGCCTTGCAACTTCAACTGTTTACCCAGATAACCGCCCAGGCCAAAGTTGAGCAACTGTAGCGTATTATTCTGTGCCATATCCAGGCCTGACATATCCGTAATTCTACGATTTATGTTTTGTGTATGTGGCGCATCCTTCAATGTGATCAACTTTACTGTGCTGGCCACATTCTCAACCATTGTCCGATGATTTGTCACATTTTTGACAGCTTCGATTTCGGAGTCGTGCAGGACATCGTGATATAGCTGTATTAGGGGTTCCAGACTCAGCATCTCCATCTTCAAAGGTGCCAGCATGAGATAGGCCGAGTTCTGCTGAACGTACCGACAGGTCAACGGATGGGTCTTGCGCTTTGGCCACAGTCCGCGACAGCCCTTCTCCACCGCATTGGGCTTTGCCTTGTGTTTAGCTCGCTGTTCAATGAAAATTTGCTCGTTCACCGCGAGATACTTATCGACCATATTTTGGATTTTGTCGCTGCTGGACTGACTGACAAGTTGCTTGATGACATTATCTACATTATCCTTCCATTCGGGCTCTACACCAGCCACTTGCGGCTCCTGTGACACATCCGCTGTCAGGCATAAATATGCAGTTATATATTTAGTCAAGATATTGATACTATTCGAATTGCTTACGCTCGTAGACAATTGCCTGGGCATACTTTCTGTTGAGTCCCTTGCGCTTTAAGCCCAGCACACGACCAAACAGTTTTCCATATGGCTTTTTGTACAGACGTATTGCAGTGCGGTACCAGTGCGTAGATCTCGAATACTCCGTGCGATTAAACAGATTGTCCGCCAAGGCTATGCAGTCGGGCGAAGTGAGAAATGAGCTGCAGCGAAGAATAGAAAGTTTCCAATTGAATTCTAGCTTAATAGGTAGCCGGTCTATGCTCTACCCACTCGTATTGTTTGCCGAGTAACAGGCCCTCGGCCATGTGCGATGCCTCTAGATCATAGATTCTTTCAATGCGCAGCAAGCCTTTTATTGCTGTCTGCAAATCATTCTCGTTTGGCGCGTTTTGCAGCTGCTGCTGCATCTCTTCTATTTCGGGTTGTGTCTTCAGATATGTCAGCCATTTGGGCCAATCCTGCTGCAATCTTCGAAGCAGTGCGAATGCGTTTAGCGGATTTGCCACATATTCCTCTTGCTTTTCGGAACTGTCTTCGGCCGAACGCTTCAACATTTGCTGGTAGCTGTGAGTAATTGGGTGTAAAGCGCTATATGAGTTACTTTCCACTGGCACTTACAGCCTTATCATATTTAGTTTTTGCTGCATGTCCTTGGCAACAACTTGCAAACTACCCATCAGCTTATTTTCCAGCTGCACCAGCTTCGACATGCTCCCAACAGATGTGCTGTATAGAAACATTTCATTTTCCACTTCTGCTGTGCCAAAAGCAGCACGTATTATGAGAAAAGTGTAAAACAAAGTTGAAAACCACGTCATTTCTGGCCGGATACTACTATTTGAGCGTAGGGTTTGTTTCTATATATATACTTGGGCTCGTCACACTTGCGAGCTAATTTATATTTTGTATACACTTGAGAAGGTATAATTTTGTCACGATATGTGTAAAGCATTAAAGGAGGCATGTTCGACCCTCTGAGTACACAACAGTTCGATTCACTTTATCATAGACATTTTTGGTTTTTTTTTTTAAATATCTTGACAAAACTCGGCTTTTATAAGTTAACCAATGCTTAATAATTATGGATAACATATTGACGTTATAAAATTAAGTTCTAGACTGAATGCTTGTATGTAAACCATAAATCCTGAGCAAGCTTGCCTATTAGTTCCGCCATGCAATTTATTTATGAACAAAATCTTATTAAAAGCGGACCACTATAACGAACCACTAGCTGCCAAATGGAATAATCGGTCGAAAATGAAAATCATATTTAAATACTTTTTAGTTTTGCAAAATGTCTTGATCAAACTAGGCCTATGTTGATTTAACCGTGTTGCTTACTTTTGAGCAGAAACTTATGAACACTTAATCAATAAAATTTTATTAAAAGCGGACCAAGACAGAACTATTAAAATCGGAACATTATATCGCACCACTAGCTTTATTAAGCTCGTCTATGCTCCTTACTTCTGATCAATATCGAATCAGCAAAATCTGCTTAACACCGGTTTACTATATCGGACCAGCAGCTAAATAGGATTTTTTGGTAGAAAATCAAGTAAAACTGAAAACTTGTATGTTAACTCATTTGTATATATATCTTGATCAAACTCGACTCTTATTATGATTAAAATCGGATCACCAGTTAGCAGTTTTTATAATAATATAGTCCACGGACCACAACCTTAGGGTCGATCGCTAGAAAATTATGTTTTGCTTAAAAAACGTTTTGCTTCTTCATATATTTTGAACAAACTTGTCTGCTCTTTAATATATATTAAGCAATCTCACTAATCACCAGCTCAACTGTTCTTCACAGCCATTTGTCTAAAAGGGTATTTTATGTTGCGCGTGCCGAAGTAAGCCGTTCTCATACGAATATGTTTTCATTTGCATGGCTGATTAACAGTTTTCATGTGTTAGCTAAGTTAAGAACGATAACAACTAGCGTGACTATAAGCACAAACATTTGTTTCGATTCGGTAAGAAAAGAACAAAATCATAAGGCCGTTAGCAGATATGTATATGAATTTTAAGGGAATTAAGAATCACTAAAAAGTAAATCATTTTAATTATCTTCGAGTCTTATTTCGATGGCCTTCCGTAGCAGGGCTTGATAAACATCTGGGGCCACATGTGCAACCACTTGGTGAGCGCTTTTGGAATAAAATTCGAATTATCAAAGCTAATAAGCAAACTAATGATACTCACTCCATCTGGAACCCACAATAGTAGGGCATACCGAGTGCAGGGAACGAGGATCCGGTGTGCCGTCATCAAACATATTATACCAAAACAGGCTGTTGCCCTTCTGGGGCTGAACTGCAACTTGAATGTCGGGAAAATTGGTGGCCCCACCTTGGGCGACATCGCTCGCCTGTAATGCGTTAAGATGTCACACGTAATTCCATGACTATGGCATCAGCGAACTCACATAGATTATCAGAGAGGCTATACGTTCGCCCAGCACGGCAACGGCCTCACCAGACACACGCCCACCGTACATGTAGTCGTAGTGGGGCTTGAAGTAGCTGCCTATGCCGTAGTTAGCCAACAGTACAGTCCACATATCTTGCACATCGAAGCCCGTCATGTCAGTGATGCGTCGATTGATGCGCTCCAGAAACGGTGTCGCCTCCACCAGCCAGCCAGCACGTGCTACGATGTCGATCGGCTCTGTATTATTCGGCTTATCCGTACTCGATAGGCCATTTTCCATGTGCACACTTAGGCGCTTCAATTTCTCGATCTCGCTGTCGGAGAGCATACTATGATACATGACTATATATGGATCGTGGCTGATCTCCTCCAATTTGAGTGGCGCCAGTCGCAGAAACGGTGTGGTTGTCGAGTTGTACCGACAACTTAGATTTTTGGGTTTGGGAAAAAGGCCACGACAGCCCAAATAATGGGCTGTCGGCTTTGATTTTAGTAGGTTTACCCCCAAAATGTCCATGTCATCATGTTCTAAAAGTTCATTTACGAAGTTATCCAATTGACTTGCGTTGGTTGCCTTCAGTATTGCATCTACTTTTTCCAGCGTTTCTGTTTTATTCAGTGTGGGCTCAACGAACGGCATACCTAGCCAACAGTTGGTCATGAGGCATAGGGGCATATCAATAGATCCGTTCCACCTACCTTGCAATAGACGCGCTCTGGCAAATCTGCGACGGATACCGTTTAGGGGCCTACCCAAAATTTTATTGTAGGTCAAAAAATTCGGCTCGTTTTCGCGCCTTAATGCAATGTGGTACCACATCAAAGCCCGGCCGTAGTCCTTGTTGTCATAATTGTGATTAGCTATGGCCAAACAGTCACGTATCGAAAGTGTATTGCTGCAGGATAATTGTTGGGGCGGTTAGGCGTGCGCTGAAACTGACAAATAACTCACTTGAATTGCTTGCCCTGCAGGCGTCCTTCTGCTATGTCAATTGCACTGAGGTCATAGGTCAGCTCGATGCGATTTATGCCCACCAGCGACTCTTCCATATCATGCTCAGTTGGCGCTTTGGCCAAAAGCTCTGTCATAGCTGCCAGCTGTGCTGCTTGTCATTGATATTCAAATGCTATATACCTGCTCATTAGTGTAAAATTCTGATTTCACATTACCTGCACCTGCCTTTGCCCCCATCAAGACTTGTAATGCGCGCCAGTCTTGCCGTATGCGTCGAATAAGTCCGAATGCGTTCAGCGGATTTGAGACATATTGCTCTTGTTCTTTTGGGTTCTTAAGAGCATCACGATTCAGTGTCCTTAAAAAGCTGGACGACGATTCAGTATAATGTATGATTCGTATTCGACTGGCACTCACATTTGTAGCGTTTCCAACCTTTCCTCCAGGGCTTCAGCATATTCCTGCAGATTAGCCACAAACTTATCCTCAATATCTAACAGCTTTAACAGTCCCACAATGGAGCTGCTATACAGCTCTGTCGTGTAATTTTTCGGGCCATTAGCAAGCGTGCCATAAACCAAGATTGAGAAACAAATAACTGCGAGTAGGAACTTCATTATATGCACTTCGAAGCCAATCGGATGGCAAACTGATAATGTTTTGGCGTGTTACGGCTAAGAAATGTGAGTGATTTGTGTGATTTAAATTTAATTAAGCACACCATAGTTAATATGCTTAAAGCAGTGCCAAGACTAACAGTTGAATATTTAATATCCATTCCAAATTAAGTCAACTAAGGGAATATTAAATATTTAATATCCATTCCAAATTAAGTCAACTAAGGGAATATAAGTTCATAGACTGGAACTCAAATACCCTTACTTTCTGTGTCTGTAAATCCACTTAACAAGAGCTGCAATTACAAAAAAGTTATTTCGCGTCGAATTGGTAAAGAAATTGTAAGAAAACCTACTCCACATGGAGCCCACCAAGACGGGGCACGACAAATGATCCGAGCTAAGATCAATTTTTAGCTGCTTGTCCAAATGATGCGTTACTAATGCGGCACCTTTTTTTGGCTTGATGGCAATTTCCAGTTCTGGCAAAATAGTGTCACCACCTTGCGGCACTTCACTTAGCTTTTGGGCGTAGAGAATTTGATATTAAATATGACAAGAAACGAGAACTTCAGTGCTTACGAAAAATATAATGGAGGCCATGACATTGTTCAGTTGCCGCTAAAATATTTAATAAGCTTTGGTAACTTTCGCTTTATGAGTTGACTGTTGTTCACCTGCTGTTCGGAGAGTGCTCTTATGTGGCCACCTATGCCGTAGTTGATAAGCAGAAAGTCCTTTTCGGAAGCCACGTTCATGGCTGTCATATCCATAACACGATGATTGAGCACATCATCCAGGTGCCTCGTCACGGTTGTGTACTTAACCGAGTTTTTATGATCCGTAGTTCGATCGTGTCTCATGCTGGCAAGATTTACGCTCAACAGTTCTTTAATTTCATTTTCATAGATGACATCGTGATATAGTGCCACGTAAGGCTCATTGTTTAGTAATTCCACTTTGAGCGGTGCCAATATTAGGAAAGGTTCCTTGGAATTTTGATAGTAACAATACATTTGCATTAAATTTGGAAACTGGCCTCGGCAACCGATTTGCATGGAATTCAGAGGATCTTTTTCAAACTGAAATCACAAAGATTGCAATATAATTCAAATTTAATTTGAAAATATGTAACCGTATAGCCTGTGCTAAGATGCCGCACGGAATCTTCCAGGATTCTTCGCTGTAGCCAGAGTACATTATGTAAATCAGCGGCTTTGTTGAGCACATTTAAAGCCTCCTTATTGTTATCTGTGTGGATGAAGCAGATCGGTTTCCTTTAAGATCTTAAAATACTTGTATTACTTACTGTATTCGGCAAGCTTGTTGGCATATTTTCCATAAAAATCATTCACTGTTAGCTTATAAACTGAATCATATAGATCGTTATCTTGGCTATAGTTATATCTTTCAAGAGCTTCCTTGTACCAGGCCACAGCATTGCTTAAAAGTGGCTTCTCCTTGCAAAACTCGGCCATAGCAAAGCAGTCAAGAGCATTTAGCTGGGCACTTTAAAGTACAAATTGTGAAATTAAGAAGAATTTAAGGGAGGCGTTGCCTACTCGTATTGCTTGCCATCAATCAGACCATTGGCCAGCTGCGCCGCCTCCAGGTCATAGCAGTCTTGTATTCGTATGATGGCCTTCATGGCATCCTCCAGGTCTGTGGCTGTGGGCGCATAGTCCTCAAAAAGCCCATACACATTGTCAGCATACTCCGAACTTACTGGATGTTGCATATACGTCTCAATGTAACTCCAATCCTCATGGAGGCGCCGTATCAGCGCAAAACTGTTCAAGGGATTGGCTAGATATGCCTCGGGATCAGCCCTCCACTGTTGTATCTTTGAGCTCACTTCAAACAAGCATCTGGCGAGCAACATTCAATTATTTGCAATTTCAATCCAATCATTTAGTTACCTCTCCATTGTGTAAATGGTTGACTGCAAAGCCACGGTATAGTCGTAGAGCTCTTCTATAAATAGGCTTTGGGCATGTATTAAGCTGTCTAAGCCCGCGACGGACATGGCAACATCCTCCAGTATCCCATAAGAATCTGCTCTGTGTAGAACTAGTAAGCACATCAAATAATGTAGATATGCGCTCATATTGAAAGCTTGAAGTAAGTATTGTGTTGCTTAGATTTTTATTTATCCATGGAACACTATACAGCGCAGCTTTTTAATTGAGTATGTAACGCTTTTTAGTGCTGGGACATTATATTTAAATGTCAATTGGTCTCAGTCCTATATGTTAAATTTGCTCTGGAGTGTGATAGAGTTTTTCGAGTTCCAGGGTACTTTAAGGCTGGACTCAGTTCGACTTTAATGTAGTTGAGCCTTTTGCCAAATACATACAAAAGAAAAATTGTCGTTTTTTCGGACATCTGCGACGCAAGGCTGGCTCCATTATTCATATTGATATGCGTATTTAGATACCACTTAAGCAATTTGTTTAGTCTATTGTTTATTTCCACCAGCGAAATGGTCATGTCTGAGCCTGGGCAATTCTATTGATTTAGATTGGCGCGACATTTCGACCATTTAAATTGCAAATTCACACTTTCGTCTTGTGTGTCCAATGGATATTTATGCGGCTGGTTTGCTTCCACAGCTGTTTGTCTGGCTCTGATTTCTTCTTCTTGAGTTGATTCAAATAAATTCCTCTTGATTAAACACATGCCATTAGGTAGTTGTCTGGTCTATTTCTGTTGCTATTAAACTGAGCTATTGACCATAAAACAATCATATGGGATTAAAATGCGTTGACCTTTGCCCTTTAACACAAACGAGGTGGAAGACTCGGCAGTGGTCAAATAGTGTACTTTTATCATAGTACATTATTTCAACCCTTTGTGCATATTTTCAATTCTGAAATCTTTTATATTTGGACATTTTTCAGAAACACAGAACTATAAGTTTTATTTATCTCAATATATAGAACTGTGTGTTCTGACTGACTATCTTACTGACGGAAGGTCAAGGCAGCTGCAATTTGTTCTGTAGTTTTCTTATGTGATGGAGGTCCACGATAAGGCAGGGTTTTCGAAAATTCCACCCGCAAGTGGGGAAAAGTTTATTTGAGAGTGTTTCGCTCTTTTTGGAAAAATGGGGGTCAAAGCTTTTGTAAGTATAGTTTCGCGTTCAAACTCATTTCCAAGGGTTTTTATGAAATATCATTTGAGATGTGTTTGACGCGCTTCTCGCAAAAGTCAAGCTTCCTCTGGTGGATTGGCCAAGGCATACAAGAGCTTAACAAGCTATCAGTTGTATTAAATATACAGCCAAGTAGATATTCCCCTTTTTTTTTTTTATTTTTGCCATTTCGCATTAAAAGCTAATTAAATCTTGTTAATGATTGAGCTGCTGACGCAATTTGTTGTCGTGGCAATCGCCTAGGGTAAATTATGCCAACGGCAGAATGAGTTCATTGTATATTGTGATGAAACAGTTTGGCACGTTTTCAAGAACTTCCAAAAGAGACAAAGATTATGTATGTACATACTATATATGTCAACATATCTCTTTAACATAAAGCAACCAAACCAGTTGCAATCGAATGTTGCAGATTTGTTGAGGTTTGTGGCATGTTATATGTGCCACCATGTCTGGTTAGCTCATGTTTGCACAACTATATTCACATGTCTGTATGTGTGTGCGTGTGTGTGTGTGTGGTAAGTACTTTCATGTGCGTCTCCCAACTTATATGATTATCTTTCTATTAAAGCAGCAACTGGATTGCATGATTCGGGTTTTCTCGAGACTCGCTTGCTTCGCATTTATGGTGTAGGAAAAACAGTTTTCATTGTGTGTGTGTGCGTGCGTGTGTGTGCATGTAACAATTGATTTTGATTTCGACTTGGCTTTAAATAGCATTGAGTTACGACAATAGCAAATAGCAAATGGCAAATGGAAATGGAATAGAAATAGAAATAGAAATACTCGTCGCAACGTACTTCTTTTTGGCATTAGGTGCGGCGCTTCATTTAGTTTATGTCTTTTGTCTGCTCTTTATGTGTGGGTGGGCGTGTCTATGGCCACAATTTGAATGAGCTTCGGTCTTTGACTGAGCGTTGCATTTTTATGGTCTCCGGCACAGCGTTCCCTTTGCCATCTCATCAAATGTTTGGACTGTTCTTTTATTTATCGTATGGCTACTTGATGAGCATTTGCTGAAATTGTTTTATGGCCCATGCGCCAAGTTCTCTTTGTCATTCGTCGGCATTCATCAATCATCGATGGCAGTCGCAGCATTTCAAGTGAAATGCGCATTTAATATATTTTATGGTTTTCTTCATTTATACACATATACATTTTTTTGGCACATACGTTCATGAATTGCCAAGAAATGGTCGACCACAAAATCTACTTAAATTGCTGGTCGGCTGCCGCCTCTGGACGTCAACCTGTTGGACCTCCATTTATCACAGGCGCCGGCGAGTGCTTAAGACGGCGGAACTAATGTGTCCAGCTTCATATTTGAATTATGTATTATTAGGCTGAATAATGCCCGCTCCTAGGATTAAGGCGGAACATATTGGTTGGGGCGGGCAGCGAGACGCACATGAGTGTTAAAGTGGAGCGGCGCGTAAATTCCGCACGATTTACTGCCACAGCTTCGTCCACGAACTTTGACAAAGGACAACGTGTAATTCTTTTTGGCAATTTATAGCCTTTGAAATTCAAAGAAAATCAATAAGACTTAAATGCTGCACAATATGGCACCCTGTCTGCAGTACAGAGATTATTAGAGCAAAAGAAAGAAATATATATAACTAAGAACTCAAATAAAATAAGTAATAAATAAATAATCAATCAATATGATTAAAAATAAACATGTATAATAATAATAATAATAATAATAATAATAATAATAGTAAAAATAATAATAATAATAATAATAATAATAATAATAATCATCATAATAATCATAATAATAAGAATAATAATAATAATAATAACAATAATAATAATAACAAAAATAATAATAAAAATAATAATAATTATAATAATAATAAAAATAATAATAGTAATAATATTAATAATAATAATAATAATAATAATATTAATAATAATAATAATAATAATAGGAATAATATTAATAATAATAATAATTATAAAACAATTATACAAAAAATATTACTATTATTAATAATAACAATGAAATAATAGAAATAAAATTATTATATAAATAACTTATTATACTATGATTGAACAACTTTTTTTTTAAGTATTTTAAGTTTGGGTACATGAAACAGAGGCATTGTTAAAAATTTTGCCTCAATCAAGATTGCACAATCTTTACTCCCAACCCATTTTTTAACAGGGTATCAAAGTAAAATAAGAATCGATTTAAAAATTGCTTAAAGCAGGCCCAAATTTTCAAGTGGATAATATTTTTATTTCTTTTCTCATTTCAGGCATGAATTGATGGCCTCTCATATTTTGCACTTGCTGTTCTTGGCCATTAAGACAATGACCAGACTGGCTGCCCGCCTAGTTTATTGTCGAGCCGTCGTTATCGGTTCGCATTAGGTTTAATGCATTTCACCGTATACCCTATAACCTTGAGACTATGAAAGGGGGAGTTTAATTTAAATGTGTGAAAATCATCAAAGAGACGGTATTCTGTTTTCCTATCTTTGCCTTACTTTTTCCCCAGATAATAAGTTTTCTTTGGTTTTGAATTTTCAACTCGCCGAGCTTAAGCAAATTGTGTCTTGCTGGTCATTTCATATCCATGAGCCTGAGGTGTCGCTTGGAGTCCGCGTCAGCTCTTGATTGAGTTTTATTCCAATTTGTTGTTTATGCAAACGTGTCGCTCTAATAATCCAATTTCTTGCGTTGATTGACATTCAAGTTAGTAGTTATGACTGCATTGCTCTCACAACTCAACTCGCATCGCAATTCCAATTATATTAATGCCAGAAGGATAGTGAATACCAATACCATACCAAATCATTTGTTCAAATTATTATTAATTCTGCATAGACTTCAATTAAATGCAAAATGCACACTTTTGCATTTGAATATGAATTCATTCATTTCATTCGCTCCCTGGCTAATTAGCAAAGTGTTAGCTGGAATACGAAATAGAAAAGCAAAATATTCGCGTTGATATTTTTGACTTTGACGCGGAAGCCACGGGTAAGCAGAGTCCCAATAAAAGGCAAAAGGCATCGAGGTGATGTGTGTGGTTCTCGTGGTTGATGGTGGGACAGGAAAAGGGAAAATAAGGGGTTCTGCTTTCTGATACATTCTTGTGGCATTGCTGTGGCACAGTCACGGCATTAAGTTTGCATTATGCCCATACCCTGTAGTCTACATATTCATTAAAATTGATTCGTTTTATTTTAAACAAGTTTATGCTCCGAAGAGCTGTCCACATAAATGGGCTTAAGGGTGAAACCAAAGGGTGACTACAAGGCTTGGCCTCGAGCAAGGCAGGCTCTCACATAAAAATATTATACTTATATACATTTTGTTTAACTATGAAGCCTTTCAATAAATCCACCTAATTTGAGGTTAACTGAAAGATGCTTGCATTGGTTAATAAATAAATAAGCATACGAATGTCTGTGGTTAGTTTTTTTAATGGGTATCTCTTGAACTGTTTCCTTGTTCTCCCTTGTGCCATTGCACATTTCATATGGTTTTGATTTTCCTTTGCTGGCAAGAAGTTCAACGTTGTTCCATGTGGATACGCTAATGAAAATTCCAAAATTCTAATAACGCACCTTTTGTGTGGTTTTCGTAATCCCTACTGCTGTCACTATGATTGACAAGCTCAATTATTTTTTGGTTCATATCATTGCTCGCTTTGTGTTTTCATATGCATAGCTTCATCGCTAATTTTAAAACTAATAAGAATATATTTCTAAATATGCTTTTCTGCCGAGTGCTGAATAAAAATCATTTTTTCCTGACTAAATATTTCAATTTTTTACTGAAGCTTACATTTGGGTCGAAACTGAAACCCACGACTGAATTTTGGAAAAAATTTTATTTTATTTCAGCAAATGCTTTTTTAATTTAAAGTAGTAAATGTATGATGCGTGGTAAAAACCAAAAACTTACCAAAGTCGCCGCGCAAAAAGTTAATTAATAATAAAATAACACCAAGTAATTTGCTTAAAATTGAATTGATTTATTTATATGACTTAACTATGTGTATTTACAGGGACTACTGAGCTGAGCATTGCTAATGACTACGCAGGGTCCGTGCTGCACCTGAACGGAGCTCTTGCGGCGCCAGTCGCACTCGATGGGCACAAATTGACCCTTTCGAATGACCGTCTTGGGCTTGGTAATGCCGTAGCAGGTGTAGAGGGAAACGCTGCGCGAAATGGGCAGGCACTGCTCGTAGACCTCCACAATATCCGGATGAATGCTGTCCAAGCTAAAGTCCTGGCCGCAGCGCAATTGCTGATGAATATGCAAACGGCTGCGGCTCTTCAGCTGAGCCCGGCAGCGGCGACACTGGAATGGGCGTGTACGGGATCGGCTGTTATTGGGCGCCATTGGGGTTTGCAGCTCGTGCAGTCGCTGAAACTGGCCCATGATGTCGTTCAGTATGAGGAAATTCTTGTTGGGCCGCTGCTGCAGCGTCTCGCTTATGTGATAGGGCACCACATACAATTCCTTGGTGGTCAGGCACTGCTGCAGCCCGTACAGATTTACGCGCATATTGGGCGGAAAATAGCCGTTGCACTCGCGCTGATGCTTTACATATGCCGCCCGCAAACTGGCCAAGTCGGCCTCGCTGGTGAGGTTGCTGCGTGCAGCCGTTTCCTGGCGCAGCTGCAGCGGCAAAGGTAGAGCCAAGGATGGCGAGCCCGCGGATTCGGTGTCCTCGCGCTGCCGCTTCAGCTGCACACGTATGCGCGTTATGCTGCATTCGTCAAGGCTAACGTCATGGCTGCTGCTCAGATAGTTCTGAATGCGCTGTGTGAGCAGCTCGTAGACAACACTCACGCTCTCCTCAATGTCATAGTGATGCTGAACGGCCAGAGTGCCGCTCTGAAAGATGTGTACCTGGTTCTGGACATGCACATAGCACGCCACATTGAACTCCAACCGCTGCGTACCATTGTGAAACATCCAGCGCAACAATTCCGGCACCGCCCTGGAGCATGTCTCGGCCATAAACTGTTCCAGCTTATGCTGCGCACTCTCGTCGCAAAAGAAGAATGTCTCTATTTGACGCGCCTCGATGATGTCCAATACCGCCTGCTGTTGCTTGGTGAGTTGCGGCCGCTGCTCCTCGCCACGTCGCAGCCAGTGCTGGCTGGGCGGCTCATCCGCATCGATGCTGCTGTAGCAGGTGGTGCACTCATGCAACTGCCCCTCCACGTGCCACTGATGGCGGAAGGTTTGTTTTTCTCCTTCGTTGTTGAACACAAAGCTTGAAATTGGCTCCTCGTTGTACATGCTGCGTTTGCTTTCAATCGATGCGAATGCTGTGTCTGTGACAGAGTTGTCTGGATGACTGTTATGCTCTTGCTACTGGACGCTGGTATATATATCTGGAAAGCTGATAACAGGTAGGCGGCGCTTGGGTTCCACACACCTGCCACAGGTAGCACTTAGGTGCAACATCTGCGCTTAAGGTTTTCCCTGCTGACGTTTATGGGCGGTAATCCTTGCAGCTGTGGGCTGTGAAGAGGCGCAACAGATGGTCACAGCTATAAAAAAAAGTTATTCCTCCCCATGAGCCGTACAGTACAGATGCGGCTTGCCCCAAAATGTCACGACCATTGAAAGCACGGGCAAAATCAAAGTGTGAACCAGTTAAATCGTGTTGCTCTTCGTGTTTGCTAGGTGCCTGCCTCAATTTGCATCCGTCAACCGCAGCCCGGGGGCCATCCGAGCGACCGCAGACGCCCTCAGCCGTAGCAAAGCAAGCATTCGCAAATGGCGTCTCACATTTTCGTTGTCGTTGCTGTTGTTGGATTTGCCCGTTGTCTGGATGCAAACATGCTGGACAATGGCCACCGTGTGGCAAGTGGCTTGACAATGGCGTGCCGCGGTGGCCTGCAAGAGCTTTGCAAAAGTAGGCGAAGGAGTGCGAGGCGTGGCTGGATGGCCGCTGCAGTCACTTAATTTCCTTTTCCGCTTTTTACGCTTCATTGTCTGACTGCGGCTTTGCTTTGACTGCCGGCGGCTTTTAAAGGCAGCTCAACATAAAATATGCTTGAAAATTAACAAAGGCAATTAGAGGGTACTTAAAGCTGAAATATACAATGATTGTTCCTGCTCGTTTACTCTGCTCTCACTCTCTCTCTCACCCATTATGGCTCTCTTTTTATTTTTTGATTATTTTGCATTGTCTGTTTGCCTGCTGAATTCCGCATTGTAATACAGGGCTTGCACAGGCTTTTTGATAGCACATTTTACTTTGAGTCCAGCCTTTAAAGCAAAATCTCTGTATGCCATTGCAGAAGTATTATAATTTTCTAACAAGAAATGCGAAGCGCAGTAAATAACGCATTGACAATCGCATAACTAGTATATATTTACAACTGCGAAAATTAAAATAGCAGCACCCTTACAAGCAATGCTTGCACAGGCGTCTTAAACACATTTGTGAAGAGCTTATGAAAACGTTTTAAGTATAAGACTCTTAAAAATTTAAGAAAGGAAAAATGTATTTTCCTCAATGAATGCTGAGAAATATATTTCAAAGCAATATTTGTCAGTATCGAAAACCTTTAATTGTTTCGCTATATATATATCCGTTAGGATTTTCAGTGTTTAGGGCGATTTGCCAAAGATCTGTCTACTTGCTGCAGACCCAAGTATATTTTATTTAGACTTTTGTCAGAGTATGCAACGTTCGGCTTTAACATTTTATGCACTGCACATACACTGCACTTTTATTTATGCTACTATTTTTTCCTTTGCAAAGAGTCCTCGTGTAAACAATGCCACAGAGTAAGGGACGCAAAGTTAATTAAGTCACTGTTGGCTGTGGTTGCGGAAGGTCGGGTGTAGGGTGGAGGCAAGGAGCCTACCAGCTGCCAAATGTAGCGATGCAAAAGGCAGCACCCGACTATTCCAACAGTCGACAGACTATCGCAAAATAAACACGAGACAAAAAAGTGCAAAATGTCGGCAAACTTTAAAAGAAGACGAAGACTTTTGCTGCCGCAAAGTTGGCAACAATCGCTCGCCTCTGACTGCTGTGCAGCCCTGCGGCATTGAATCACTGAGCTCCAAATCAGAACTAAGTGTGAACACGTTATTTGCTATTTACGAGCTGCAACCGAATCCTAACAACCAACACCTAATGCAATCAAATGGAATATAAATCACGTTAACACAAACACACGAATGTGGCAGGATGACAGCAACCCAGGTCTGAGGTCTGCGGCAACAGCCAATGCTAGTGCTCCATCATAGTATGTTTAATCGAAGCATCTCCATGACAGACGAGTGTATTCCTAAGCCTGAGTGTCCCCTCGCCGCTTAATGCATTTGCCAAGCTGCTTAAGAACCCAGCTGTGGGTCATATAACCGACAGGTGTGGCATGCAGCCAGCCAGGTGTGCAGCTGATTCATAAAAGCTGCCACCAAAAACGACAAATAATAGCCAAGAGAGACGGCAGAGGTTTTATTTTTCCTATACTTTATCGCCCGTTCGAGGTGTTGACATTTTTTGTTCTCACTCGGATTTTCTTCTTCCGTTTGTGGATATCCGTTGCAGGAAAGAACCGGCGACAGGCGCGGCTCATTGACCTCTGGTCACTTGGTGCTATTAAGGGTGAAAGTTTATAATGGGCGCATTTCCATTAGGTTCTTGATTAAATATGACATTCAATCCGAGGCCTTTTTTAATTCTGGTGTACATTATAATAAAATTCACTCTAAAACCAATTGTTAAGATTCCAAACACATCTAGTTCATGTTTATTTTTCGAATTCCTTAGAGAAACAAATTATTAGATCTAATTAAGAGATCTTTTGACAGGTGATTAACTTCTCCTTGCTCCCGCGTCAAGTTGAGGTGTAATTTGGTTTGAAACATCGTCAGTTTTCATACCATTTGCGTGCTATTTTCTATGCCGCTTTAATTTAATGCTGGGAAAACTTTTCCACTTTTCCTCTTTTCTACTTTGCTGTGCATAAGCCTACGTGGAAAATGGTAGAGAAGCTTGTAACTGGCTGCTGTTGCAGTTTTTATATGCATGCAACTATAACTATAGCTAACAAGAACAAAAAGAGACGGAGAAAAAATAACAAAGAATGAAAATATTCGGCATGCCGAAGATTAAATACCCTTGTAGACAAATGGCTGAAAAGTGTTTGAATATAAGAAAAATATTCGTCCGATATTGATTAAAATGTGCACATATGTAAAGATCATAGTTAAAAGAGTATATGCCAGTTTGATCAAGATAAATAGGGTAAAAAAGGTACAAGAAATTATAATATGACCGATCGTTTCGTTCATATAAAAGCTATATATTTGGTAATAAGATTTTGCCTCAATGTAAAGAGTTTAAATAATAAATAAATATAACAATTTAAAAATAATAATTGTCTACATGTTTGGCCAAGATAGTTTCATAAAGCAATAAGGTGAACATACAAAAAATGTATTTTCAACCTCATTATTCCGATGACAGCCTTTTGATATAGTATCCCGATTCGGACATGTGTACTGCTCGCAACAAAACGACTTAGTCTTAATGGAGTCGTCTACGTCTCCTTCTATGCGTTACATACTGTTTGGCAGCATAATAATACCCTCCTTGAAGGGTACAACGTTACAACTAGCAGTTTAGCCACCATTTTGAAGGCGTCTGCTTGAAGAAATTGTCATAAAAGAAAACTTTGGCTGTCTCAATGGCGAAAGTCGTCAGCGGCATCGCCGTTGTCTCAGTCGTTTGCATGCGTAATTTAAGCAATCTACAGACGTGCCACAGACTGAGGTGGTAAGCGCCACGAATGGCAGATGGGCTTGGGGTTTGAGGGTTACTGAAGTGTTGACACCTCGCCTGGGCCACAATTTGTCAGCAAGTTTTGCGAATAAGGTTCCTTTTTCTTACTTTCAGGCTAACAACTAAGTTCGATGCTGGCTTTAGTGCATCTAAGGCTGCCACCCCACTTTCTCTAGCCACATGCCCCACGCTTGCACTGGGCATGTTGCCGACAATTTATGCAAATTTGGTTTTCACTTTCTAGCTGACTAACAGCAAGGTCAACATATTTGCGCCCTTTTTCTGTATGCAGATGAGTAAAGTCAAAGCTAAGCAAGTGCAACTGCAAACGAGAGTTCTCGAATGCAAAATACCCCTTGATTGCCTTATGTACTGCGTTAATTGATCAAAATAACACATTTAAGAACTGTCAGTGTATATACTCAGCCTTATCTAGGGTGGTAGGGTGGTATTAAAGCTGAGATAAGCTGATGCAGCACTCAAAGGACTCGTGCAAATGGTTAAGCTGCCATTCAAAGATTGAGTCACTCATCAGACACATTTGACATTTCACATTTGACTGATTTAACTTGAGGATAATGTCATTAGGTTTTCATACAGCTAGTAGATTCACAAAGAAAACTAAGACGAATGTCTGCTGAAGCTTAAATATTATATTAAATGCCATGGGATCATGGCATATGAAAGCATATCAATGCCCAATAAATTTTGCACATTTAATTATATTTGAAAACATTATGAATTTAAAAATAGGTTAGGCGCCTATTAATTTATCTCCCATTTTCGCTTAAATCGGCGAAAACACAGTTCTTTCGCATTTTTGTTAAAACCTGGCTATTCATAGAAATACATAATATTTTTTAATAGTTTTGATTCATTGTGTGTAGACATTTTGTCTGTGGTCTGCTTTTTTGCTTAATATATATTTTATTTATTTAAATATACAAGAAAATATATAAAAACTTACCCAACAGTTCTATTAGAAACGCTCGATTATTTTATTGACATTTATTAGTCGACATTAACATTTATTATCCTGAAAAAAGATGTAGAAATTTAGTCAGAGCAAAAGCAAACGAAAGAAAGAGAAAACTTTTCAAAATCGTTAAAATCTTATTAATATATAATGTAAACCAATCTAGATTTCTTGTTCATATCTTTGCCACTTGTTTCTTGCTAATTTATTGCATAATTTGTTAGACTTGGAATTGAATCGGAAGCTGCTGTTGACCCTCGCCTGGCCAATGTACACAGTCCATTATTTATGCAGCAGACGAAGGTCAAAGCCGGCTAAGGAGCGGAGCGTCTGTTTAATTTATAGCTTTTAATTGAAATGCATTTTATATGAGTGCTAGCTGCTCGATCTGCGGCTTGTTTTCCTGTTGACCAAGTTGAGTTCTGCCCACCCGCCCCTTTTTGTCTTTATATCGCAATTGCCACAAGTGCATTTTGTTTGCCAGCTGTTGGCCCGTTGCTGTTTACGATTTGCACAATTGAAATGGAATTGAATTATCGCAGATAATGTGATTGCGGCTGTTGTGCATTTCCATACCTTTTGATCAATCTTATTCTTTTGGGGTAAATATAAAATGTGCTGCGCAATTTTCAACTTTAATTTAATGTCTTAAATTTGATGGCAACTTAATGTTGGCATACATTTTGCTGATTGATAGCAGGTTCCATTTTAATTGCTTGCATATTTTGTAACATTTGTCTATTATTACATTTTTTGCTACGGAATTTTCCCATTTACGTTTTTGTTACCTCAGCCTTTGCGCATTTCTTAGCAATCCAGCGCTTTTTTTTTTTTTTTGATTCAGCTTAGCTGTCGCATAAATTGTAAAATCTGCTTTGACTACTTTGGCTTAAGCTGCTTTTCACTTGCTTAACATTTACTGCGTAGCTCGAGCTTAAATTTCATTTTCTAGGTAAGGCGAAATGCATTATTTTTATCAGCAAAAGGTAATCCGCTGGCCTTGTAAGTCTATGCCGGTGCTTGATTTTCATTAGGGCCGAGTTCGCCTTTTTGTATTTTATTTTTATTTTCATTAAATGTAAAAGTCGATCTGTAGAAAAAATTCATTTGCGTCTGTCACGCTCCGTAATGAAACTGCTCACAAAGCGAGAAATCGAATTAAAATTTGTTTGCATTCACTTAAATTGTAACTGTCCCGAGATTGTAAATCTCTTAAAGCATATTTTATCGTTACGAATATCTGCGATTCAACAACTCGTAATTGAAACTCGAAAGCCACAGAATTAATGATTTTATTACAGTCACATATACAAACGATTCCTCTTTGATTAACTCCAATCGTATCAACTTTAAGGTTGATTTTATATTTTAAGAATTCAAGGAAACAAATTGTTCAATTTATTATTTGTACTGCTTCTGGATTAACTTGCCTATAACTTTTTCTTCGGCATTTAAGTTTATTCTGTTTTGGAAGCTTGTTGTGTTGACAGCTTTTCTCACATGTCGCTCTGATAGTTGGTAAGTTCTGCACTTTAAGGGCTTTGCTTTGTGGTAAAATATTTACTACAGCAAAACTTATATACAAATATATTTAAGCCATAAAATTACATAGCGGAAGTAGCATATTGCGTTCTCTTTCGTACCCTCTGCAATGCTCGGCTAAAACGATTTTCCGGCACACATTTTGGCTACAAATTGCAGCATTGACATGGCGGAAATAC